AGTCGAGTTTACCTCAGGGTCGATTTTGTCCCAGAATCATTTAAAATCTGGTATTGGCTCTGATTTAATACACTTTATTGTTATTGAAAATTATGTTGCTGGTAATTCCAGTCGGCTTATGCAATTGTTCATTATATATACCTTCAGGATAGGAATTTATCAGTAATTATTATTAAATTAATTAGATATAAACATAATAATTCGATCCTACTCTATGCAGACAACAAACTTTCCTTTACTTTTTATTTGTTTATTTTTTCTTTTTAATAAAAATATCTGTTGAAAGTTAGGTTTTGGTTAGTTTATGTTACCCTTGTTTGAAATATATGCCTATATTGTTCTTATTACAAATAATAATTAATAATAATTGACTTAGGCATGAAGGTCTACTTAGAGACATATTGGAAGCAGAAACAGAAATTAAAAGAGGTACAGTTAGACCTAAATTAGATTACTGTTAGCAAATGGATGTAGGATGTTTTAGTTATATGAATATGCGAAAATTGACTCAGTATAGGAAAGAGTGGAGGCGATGATGATGATGATGACGATGATGAATAATTGACTAATCCAGAGAATTGAAGAGCTGCGCGTGCTCATAACAAGATACTTTTCTATGTTTAGTCAGTCATAATAATGTTGATATTGCGAGACAATTATAAAATATAAGGAATATAACAGAAGGTCTTACGGTCAATGGTTTACGTAAGAATATTTATTGATAAACAGCCGATTTCGTTACTACCAATTAACTTTGTGACTTCATAAAGTTTTGCATTTTTAATTCCTATTCATGATCGATAAAGTATCTAGATCACTGTTATATAATATTCTCCCATTAAAGTTGGTATAGTTTCATAGAAATTGATATAACTTTGTCGAAAATTAGTTCGTATAGATAGACAGACGAAAGTGCCAATCGATACATGTGTCGCATAAGATATGCTATGCTAAATTAACGATACAGATAAACTGATTTTCGTGGAAATGTGAAAAGATATTAGTTATCGTAGCTTATGAGATTGTCTACAAAAATTGTAAGACAAATTCCTTTTTTTCGTAAGACCAGCGGTTGTTAAGAAACTCCGATTCGCGTTTATGTTTATCAAACATTGTTTTTCGTAACGATAAAGACAAACTGATTTTCGCGGAAATCTCGTTTAGTGAAAAAATATTAGTCATCGTAGCTATGAAATTGTCTACAAAAATTGTAAGACAAATTCCTTTTTTTTCGTAAGACCAACGGTTGTTAAGAAACTCCGATTCGCGTTTATGTTTATCAAACATTGTTAACCTACCACATTTCAGTTTATTTCATAAATTATAGTCTGAAATTTTTGGTTTTATTTCAAAAACGATTAATTTTTGTTTGTTAATAATAAACAAAAATTATTACAAAATTGTTAAATATTCGATCATTTGTTGATTCTTCGTATATGTACAACTTTCCTTCTCTTTGTAAACTTTTTTATTTATGCCGAATCTGACCCTTACAAGAGCATTCGCCGTGAACCGTCCCTTTCATTTTCTTCTGGGTAGGCCATCAGTCTGTGGTTGATTACAATCGTGTACAGTTTTCCCTTTCCTATAACAAAACTGAAAGACTTCTTGGACAAATTCTAGAATAGCCAGCAGTTCTGGCGTCACTCTATCAAGACCGGTAAAACGTCCACTTTAAACTTTCCCAACACAACTTTCATTTCTTCCATCTTAATTTCTCGTCAAAACTGTCTTCATTTCATTCAAGTAAGAGGCACATCGCTTCTTGTAACGCCAGGTCAGGGGTATAATCACTACCGACATCGACTTGGTCTTTTGTTCGTGATTTGGAAAATACCCGCAACGGGATCAAGAAGAAATTTCCTTTCTTGACTTTCCCGATGAGTCTTCTCAATGGCCTTCGCTCAAAATGGAGTTCCTGACCGATTTACCTACAAGCCCTGCCATCTATAGGATTTGTGACTAGCAATTCTTGCAGTAGTCGCTTTGAATACGTAAAAATTACATCTCCTGAATTCCTTAGAGGTTTGCTTATATGCCTTGTGCATCATCCTGCACACTGCAATCGGGTGTTCGAAGCTGTTTTCGCCATATTGTCAGCATTTCTGATAGAGGGGAAAGATAAAAGCGTCTTCTCCATTGCAGGTTATTTGCAATCTTGAGAGAGCTGGCGTGTCTATTTAGGTCTTGCCCCACAGGACAGAAGGTAATCATTGAGCGATTCGAAGTCCATGGTTTTCCAAGCTGTGGCCCACTTCCTAGTAGGAATGCGACCCACCCAGGTTACATCTGCAAGCATTAATGTAGGCGTTGTGACCTGGCTTAATAAAGAGCCCCTAACGCTTTGATAAGGCTCTCCATGGCCTTGCTGATAGCACCAAAAGATAAAGTGCCGATTTAGGTCGTTCCTCACCACCACATTAAGGCTTGTGAATCTGGTTATTTTCGGGGCAGCATCGCACCATTTTTCGGATGCTAGTTCCCAGCTGCTCAATGAGCTCCTTGGCCTTCCAACGACTATTGGCATTTAGTTGTAGGAGTTTTACGAATGTACCCTCTCGTTGATATTTCTCCCAACTAGTTTTCTCCGTTTTTCCGTAATCATATCGGTACAACGCATACTATCCACCGATGCTCATTATTAGAGCCACAATTATAGTACTTACTTAATCTGCGAGGTGCAGCAGGTTAGCACTTAAACGGGAACACCTTGGTCGGCAGAAACTTCACTCAGTCCTGACGCGTCTCCTTTAAAG